GGCGAGAAGAACTTTGAGGATGATAAGTGTTCTAGTATGCCGTCGTATACTAGGGATTCCATTATTTTGGAAGGTATGGAGAGAAGGGACACTGGTCGGTAACTTGAGGGTTCACTGCGTCGACCTCCTTTGAAAATTGATGTGATGTGGGCCAGCTTCCATATTTCCGGTAGTTTGCCTCTGCTTAGCGAGTGTGCAAACATCACGCTAAGTGGTGTCGCCAGGATTGAAGCTGCTTCCCTCAATACAGCGGAATGAACCATATCCGGACCAGGAGAAGTGTCTTTTTTTAGGTTCTGCAGTTTACGGAGCACCAAGTCAGCACTCAGGTCCACTTCGGAAAGTTCTGTAAAGGTGCAGGTGAAGCTTTCTTCAGTACGGTTGATGTGGGTCAGCTAGAATGTCTGAGAGTATTGTTCAGCCAAAAGGTTAGCGGCATCACCGTCGTTATTGGTCGGGCCATTAGGACCTAGCATTTGGGAAACTGAAGTGTTGCCTTGTCGAAGAGAAGCTGCGTAACTGAATAAGCTTTTCGGATTCAATCACAACGTAGAACTTCATGCGTACGTACATCAGTTCGAGTTGCCATACCACATTAGCACAGAGGTGCAGTTGTCGATTCAAATCCCATAGTGGTAGAAGTAGTAGGAGTATAATCAGAAATCCAAAAGATTAGGATTTGAAGAAATTATTGAAGGAGTATAGTACAGTGAAATAAATTTGGAAAGAGAAAAAGATAAAGACATGAGGAATTCAGAAGATTAGAATTTGGTAGAACACTAAGAGTGGATGCACCTTCGCCATTGCAAACGATTTTGAGCCATGTCATTCAAGGTCTCTAACCATCGGTTGCTGTCATCTCGCGAATCCCAATCAGGTAGTCTACACCTACCAACATGGCTCAGTCCAATTGTCAGTGACTTCATTGATTTGTGCCACGTTTAGGTCTGGCCACCCCTAGCTTTCTTCCAACCTACGCCTACACCATCAAACATTGCACGTCGGGGCAGTCGGTGGTCGGGCATACGTAACACATGTCCCAGCCATCTCAACTGATGAAGTTTCACTACTTCATCAATCGATTTGCCATCCCTACCTAGTACCCGTTTCCTAACAACTGCATTACTTACCCGGTGGTCCCAGGATATACGAGCAATGCTTCGAAGACATTTATGATCGAACACTAGTAGCCTACGAATATCCTCTATTCTTATCGGCCATGTTTCACTGCCGTAAAGAAGGACGGAGCGAACTGCTGCACAGTAAACCCGTCCTTTGGTTGCTAGACGGATATCTCGCCTACGCCATAAATGACGCAAGTTGACGAAAGCTAGACGAGCCTTCTGCATCCGTGCTGAGATTTCGTCACATACCAGACCACAAGGGCTGATGAGAGACTCTCAAGATAAGTGAGGTGGTCGACCCTCTCAACTACTTCACTCCCTATCATTAGTTCAGGTGTCGCTGCGACCCAATCCTGAAGTAACATTTTGCACTTCGAGGGAGAGAATCGCATCTCGAACCTGTCAGGGCTTGCTGCTCTCCCTCGCTTCAGATTTCCTATAGCTTTTTCAACCTCGTAGAGAGTTGGAGGACTTACCTCAATTTGCCATTCAGGACGACTGGGGATCGTGGGTAATTGAAGTGTGGCTGAAGGCCAGTTGAACTGATCCCTAATGTGTTCTGCCCATCGATCCAATCTCCTGGATTGAGACTGAATGATATGCCCATCTTTGTCTGAGATGGTTTCGCTAATAGTTGGGCTCCTAATACCGGTTTCTTTAATAAGTCTGAAAAGCTGTCTGCTGTTACCTATTGCCGCTGCCTTTTCCATCTCTCTTGCTTTCGCTACCCACCACTGTTCACGATCATTGCGTAGGCTTCTTATTAACCTTCGCTTAAGCTGACTCCGCTCTTCGTTATGCTCAGAGCCAGGTGGGATGAGTTTACGAGCATCTATCAGTGCGGTAGATGCTGCCAAGATCCATTGTTCCTCCCTGACCTTATGGCTTACCTTATTAGCGGATATCACTGCTGTTTCCACAGCTTTTCGGATGTCATTCCACGCTGCTTCGGGGTGGACACAACTTACATGTTTGTCTAACTGTTTTTCTAGTTGTTCCTGAAATATATTCTTAGCTTGCTTATCATTAAGTAAAACCCTTAGAGGCTTCCCTGCAGTGTCTTTCCTACGACCAGTAAGACGCAGACAGATACGTGCTCGCACTAGAGCATGATCTGAATCTAAGCATGTGCCCCAGAATGAGAGACAGTCTTCTATCGAGCACCTCCATCGGTGGCTGATAGCGATGTGATCTAATTGGGTCCAACGTTAGGACGAACTCGGGAGTCGCCATGTCAAAAGATGTTTTTCCTGATGCTTAAAGTTAGTATTTGCAAGAAATAGGCGGTTATCTGAGCATAGCTGCAACAGACGGTCGCCATTATCTGTTCTTTTCGCCATGACACCATAAGATCCACCCAGGTGTCTTTCCCTTTCACTTAGTTTGCCTACTTGAGCATTAAAGTCACCTGCTACTATTACTACATCAGAACGCCTAGCTTCTCGGAGAAGGTCAGAAAGTTTCCTGTAAAACTCATCTTTTATATCGTCTGAGCTGCAGTCAGTGGGAGAGTAGGCAGAGACGACGAAGAGGCAACGACGAGTTTCCCTATCTTTCCGGGTCCTTACTGATCCGTTTAGTCGGACAGCGCATAGACGACTGTCTACTGGGATCCAGTCTAAAAGAGCTAGTTCTGCCCTAGGACTTAATGCTATACCTACTCCAGTGAGGCCACGGGAAGCAGCATCAGGGCTTCCGGACACACGAAGCGTGTATCGAGATGAAACTTTATTTTGATTAGGTGCGGTCAAATGAATGACACTACTCGGATCTTGTATGCGCGTTTCGGAGACGCAGCATGCATCGATGGTGTAAGATTCTAGAGTCCTAGCTAAGGAAGCCTGTTGTCCTATTTGGCACAATGTTCGGACATTAAAAGTTCCTACATGTAGTTTAGAGCGTGGTTTCAAGAGACCAGGAATAACGTTCTGTGTACTCGAATCGTTTGCCCTAGCGGTGCGAGGTGATAAAAGGACGTGGGAAGGGTTAGTCGTGGAGATAACAGATTTATTAGGTGTAGGAAGGATTTGAAAGCGACCAACTTGGTCTCGTGTGCAGTTAAGTGTATGAGGGCTAGTATCACTTCCCGGCTGCCCACACAGTGGAAGGGTATTTCTTGAGGGACCTGAAAAAGAAGTTGGATTAGTGTTGGTCATAACGACCTGGGAGCGTGACCGCAGTGTCCAATGGACAACTGCTTCAGGCCGGTCACGCACGTCCTTTTTGTGGGGGATTTTTGACGTGTTAGCTCCGTTCTTCAAAAGTCCTTACCGCCGTAGACGGAAATCCGTGGGATAAGGCGAGGTGTGCATTTTTAGGGTTGACCTTTTCTAACCCCACTCCTCCTTGTGGGAAGGCAGCATCGCTGTCATGCTGGTTGCCTGAAGGAAACACCTTACAGCTTTCACACCTCTGCTCGATTGGATCATCACGATAGGCAAGCCCGACCACCACGTCAAGGTAGCAGCAACGGTCGGGGCTTTTCGAATTGGGGACGAATTTATCGATAAGCTTGGTCTGGAACTGAAGCCTGTCTTCTCTTATTGCATTTGAACATATGTTCCTTATATGTTTGTATTGCCTGTATGCGCCGTTGTTATCAGTTCGTTTATATTCAGCCCAACAGTGTCTTTTGCGGCTTAGCAAACGACGGGTGCGGTTCTTGATGATTGGGTGTTGCTTGTAGCTTTGTGGGACCATTTTAGGAACTGAATGCTCAGTAGCACATAAGATCGCGTGCAGTAAAAAATCCCAATGAGCATCCACTTCAAGTTGAGGGTGAACATCCCAATCCACCTGTTGTAGATAGTCGTGTAAAGCTAACACATTCAACCGTTTTAAATTCCAGCGCCTGTTGCTAGTGGGATATCTTAACTCAGTTTCGCTGACAAAACTGAAGGATAGGACGGCGTGATCACTTTTCCCCAGGGAGCCAGGATTGAGAGGTCGTCGACTAGGAATTCTTCATTTATGAATACCCAGTGAAAGCGCGACGGCGTCTAACTGTTCCTCCAACGAGTTGCCGACTTCACATTTTCGAATAATTCGAGGTAACAGATGAAGTTGAAGAACAGAGCTTCAGTAGAGTTGTCACCTCCAATGTATGTATGTTCCGCGAAGTTGATTCTAGGAAGATTGAATTTCCCTGAAATCAGGATATGAGATAATCCAAGACGCATAGAGCGGGGTTAATCCTTCCAGCGAATGATTTATAGTATGACTTATAGTATCCTTAATACTTCTGGTCATCTCCTTAAACAACTTCTTAAGCTTAGTCATAACACTAACCTCAGAGGTAACACCCAGAAATTGGAGACCCTACATAGCAGAACAGACTGCAGACACAACTTCTACTACGTTAGAGTTGTCAAGTGCTGGAGTTCACTGCCGACTGAGCTAGTCCAAGCGACCTCCCAGGAGTCCTTTAAGAGGGAACTTGACTTATTCTTAAGGACTAAGGATAACATATTATTATGATTTACCAAATTCTTTTTTTCCTCTATTATCGTTCATATACCTAGGTTCTTGCCTGGAGGTATTGGTGATCCACTGCTACCAGACACGGAAGCACGTTAAGCGAAAGCTTCTTCTATTCCGTTCTCAACCATTTGAACCATTTGAACCATTTGAACCATTTGATTGTCATACTCGATGTCAGTAATCTGTAGATGACGCCAACTAAGAAAGTATTTCCCTATACTTTACTAACATGTCCGTTTTTATTGTTAAACATGCTTAAATTTCTACCTAGGGGCATCGACGATCAAATTCCTCGATATACGGAATCCGTTTAATCAAAACCTTTCGTTCCATCCTGGCAATTTGAACAATATACTTTTCCGCGGGAGGTTTGTCATTTTTATCAGTTTTCGCGAGATGAAGGGAGCAGTTGATCCTGAGTATTCCATTATAAAGTCCAAATGTGTTTTCCTTGGGGAACATGGCGGTAACTTTTATAACGATCATTTTGAATTAGTAGCTGGCAAAACATCCATCATCCTACGTTTCATGCATGATACATTCGATCCAGCTTATCATGTATGTTGAACTTAATACACGCGTTTGTAATATTGCAGGCTACAATAGGCATTGACTTTGTTTCCAAAACTCTCTGTTTCAATGAAAAATCAGTAAGAAGGTGTGTTATTTTTTATTTGACCTTCATTTACCAGATACGTTTGCAGCTGTGGGATACAGCTGGTCAGGAAAGGTATTTCGAAAAGTTTAAATTTCATACCACATGAAGGTTTAGCAGCCTCATTCCTAGCTATATAAAGGATTCATCTGTGGCAATTATCGTTTATGATGTCACAAGTAAGTGACTTTTGAATAAATCAAATAAGTCGGATAGTTTGATGATCATTTATTGACACAAAAAGTTAAATGCTTTCGGGTGACAATTGTGTGTTTAGAATTTTGGAAGTTAGTTGACTTCTCGTTTTTAAGATTACAAACTTTTGAACGAGATACCAAACAACCAATAAAGTGGAAATAATGGCGAACAAAGGGGAAATAAAGCTAGCTATATAGCTCGTCTTCTCTGTCATTTGTTATTTTAGGTACAATTGTGAAGCTTTTGAAGGAAATTAAAACAGTAGTGCCTTAAACGGTTTTAATGTTGCTCATGTATAATTGTAGGTTGAAGATCTAGAGTTTGAGACTGTATTACCTATACACAAACCTTGTAATTTTTCTCCAAACGATCACTGTTCTAGTAATGTGCCTCAGAAATGGCTTAAAGAAGCCAAATTCCATTTAAAAGAAGGGTTTTTTGTGTGTATTACTGATAGCTTATTATAAAAGTCTAGATATTAAAGCTTTTTGCTATCTCGCCTAATTCAAAATGTATTCATTTTACCGTCGTTAGGGAAAATATTCAAATTACAAACGCTTTATTTGAAAATAAACTACAAGTTTTAGATATCTAAAGGTAATTGGATGAGACCTTTTCTAACTAAATTTTAACACCGACAAAATGTGCGTCTAATCCAAATCTTACGGCTACCTCGAACGGAGGAGTCGGGATGTAATACATTCATTTGTATCAAGTAATGAAGAAGCCAGCATAGTTCGTTTTTGTTAATTTATTAGTTGATTTGAGACCTACTTAAAGTTTACAAGCATTCAACCATTAGTAACTACAGTTAATTATCTTTGATGCACTTGAACTAGTTTGACGTGTTAAGTAATCTTCTCAGACTTCATATTGAATATTTTACAACAAACCTGCAGTAGCTAAGGATAACAGTATATTAAAGTTCTTTTATATCCATTAAGTGGTTATGAACGATATTTCATCAAGATGCTTTATATTGCGAGTGATGAATTCAAAATAAGGCACTTAATTTTAATGTTTAGGGTGAAATATGTGAAATGAATTCGACATAATGAAAGAGTCATTACCCATCAGTATACATTAATTATATATTCTGAAAATGAAATACATATAAACGATAAATGATGATGTTTAACTCTATTGTACTTAACAGATAGCTAATTAAACCATTAAAAATTGCCTAACTGATAACCTACAATCACCCATATTTTGGTCACTGATTCTATTGTCTAATGAGACAAAACTGATTGCTTATTTATATTTCAACTAGTGCCAGTGAATTGATAGTTATCACTGCACAAAATTATTCGAACAATATGTTGGTTTACAACTATACTGACAAGTAATTCTTTCATCCTTATGTTTTGACAGCCTATTTTATTTTATGGGAGTTAGAAAGCAACAAAAATCCGAAGCTAGATAAAGTTTTGGTTTTCTGCCTTAGAACAAACTGTCTTTTTTCCTCAATGTCCTAAAATTTATAGTTTTTGTTGTTATTATTCTGTAAATTTTCGAATAAAGTATTGAAACTTCAACTTTTTTGGTGACGATCAACAAAATGGTATCTCGAGTCAAACTGAAAGGTAGCTTTCTCTCGGCTTCAGAAATAATTCAGCCACACATGCTTTATCATACAGATATCTTTCTTTGTCGTCAGAATTGGTCATATACACTAAGCACTAAAGCATGCACTAAAATTTCATTTAATAGCAATTTTATTCATGTCACAGAAATTAATGCTAGCTTAATTATTCCTTCCTTTTTCTGATGTGTAAGGTCGTGAATCATTTGTCAGAGCGGATAAATGGATCTCAGAAATTCGCACTGAACGTCCATCGAAAACATTGATTTTTCTTGTTGGCAACAAAGTTGATTTAGAAGACAAACGGTAAGTTATGATACAAATTTTTGAAAATCGTGTTCGATCAAACTTTTCAACATACTATGTTACAACTTTGCTAAAGAAATATCACGAAAAGTTTGTAGGTCATTAGTAATACTTGACGACAGACGTTTTGCTGCTTGGAACTTTAGTTATAACTTGCGTTATTGAACAAAGTGTTATCTTCTGAACCTACTTTTCACCGTCTAATAAGAAGCAATCACAAACAGTTATATGATTGACTAGAATTAGTCTATAATTCTCACCCACTTGACTACAGCACATGAAAACAAGATTGCAAAAGCTGGTGATAGCAGAGAGAAAGGATTTTAGAGTTATTCTAGACATAAAGCGAGTAAGAATAAAAGTTACAAAGTTTTATTTGGAAATTATAGTTTAATATTCGGAGGTAGATGAAGAATGAATACTAGTTACTCCACTCAAACCAACTTGAAAAAATGTTACCTGACTTCTGCAATCACAGATTATGGGCTTGTGGTCCATCAACTTTGATGATCTATGTCAAATGATTGGAGGCCTACTGGAGTTAGACGGGAACGGTATGATGAACATGCTAACTTCGAAATCACACCACGCGACCAGCACCTTACGTGGATTGCCCCATCGACGTATCAAGGGATCATAGATGCTCTGAAGACTGTACAACACAAAGGACGTCATTGCAGAAATATATTAGTTAAAGTAGATACAAGCGAAAGTAGAACCACTGTCGCATGGACCAGTCCATGGCGTATGATTAACTGATGCGCGTTGACTGTCCTTGACCTTGACGAGGATCGATGATCTGTTCGATATTTATTTACCCAACTGCCGGATGGTTTGGCTAGGGTTCAGTGACATTTCACTGGCTCTACAGGCTTTTCAAGGCATATAGCTTGTAGGTTTTCATCTGCCGGCAAGGTTCAGGAAGAGAACAAACAACATCATTCAATGTTTACATGACATGATCTCCTTGCTTTTACCCTCCTTTCAAACAACTCAGCTATCAGCCACGATTAGGCGTTATGGAAAATGCTGGCTGTTGATATGCAACATACGCTTCAACCATCCACACACACCACGCTAAATGGAGTGAATTTTTTCAACACAAAGTCGGAATGCAAGCACAATAATTTTATATCATTAGATGAAAACCCAACAGCACATTTTTCCGAATTCAGCAGGTCCGTGTTGTATAGTGGCCTCCATCAAATTACATTATTGTTATCTATCTCGTTCTTTCCTCCACAATCTTCTCTATCTTCTGCTGCCAGACATTCTATTCCTGACCAAGGTTATATACTACTTATGATGATATGAGTAGCACACACCGCAATATGATCCCGTTATTTACAGTTCCAATGATATTCCTCTTAATATTTTGGTAAATTAAATTTGTTTGCCAGACTTGTCAACATGAATTATATATATATATATATATATATATATATATATAACCATGAAGTGGTTAAACTTCTTTATGTATTTAAGAATCACTAGCTTTTTGATGGAATTAGTTTGAGTTTTAAGATTAACAAAATTAAAACACTAATTACAAGGTCTGAATGTAACTTGATACTCACGTGGTAAATCATTGATCCAAATAAAATTCTATACATGTATTACTTTATGTCTAAAACATAATACCTATTGTATGGAATTGTTCAAAGTCTCATACCTACTTGGCTCCTCATCATATTAGCATAATGTGAAGTCTAATCCTTATTATGAAACGATATTAGTATTAAAACTACTGAACATCAGTCTAACATATAGCGGTTTCGTTGCAGTTTGTAACTGCTAATCAGTAAAAACCATAGTCTCCACACAATATATCAAATCTCAGAGTTTCAGGTCTTGAAGTGCGCGTAAAATGTTCAAACGTTTAGGTTCGAACTTAATAGTTTACCTTGTCAACTTATGTAATGTTGTGACATATCCTTAGCCTGATTCAACTTTCTGGACATTAGAAATGACCAAAAATGATAATGAAGTTTATATTGTTTATGTTCGACGACAAAGAGCAACTCATTTTTATTCAATTATTATCCGAATTCATCAGGTTATTTAGTATACACCCATAGATTTCCAAATGTACTTAATTATTTTCATATTCTTGATCATCTAAAGAATCGTTTTATTAACAACCTTAGAGAAAAGTTTGACACTTCTACAAACTTAAGTGGTGATTAAGTAGTAGTGTTTTTTATGACTATATTATCATTTATTCATTCAGTATGATATAAATTGTTTATAGTGCAGATGGCGTTGAGTCTAGATTGACTATGATCACTGTACAATAAGATTACGCGCCCAAAAGCGACTTGGTTCCTTCGCTAGATCATAAACCGGAAGGCTGCAATTAGTCCAGATAAAGTATATTTATTAGTTATCTCGTGGTATCGAAAGAATACCAAGACGTACCAATGGGTACAGGCAATAAGGGCAGAGCGTAAGAAAGTTTGAACGGACAAGTCAGGCAACCGAACGAAAAGTGATTTTGATACAGTCAAACAACAACGAGTACAGTAAAACAATCACTGGTACAATTGGTGATAATAATAATTGTTTCCATTATACCAATCGCGTTCTTGTCGAGAAAAGCAGGTCACTACAATAGTATGGCATCAATTTTAATGAATCCAAGCAGCCTCAGTTTGTGACAATGACAGTAGAAATCAAACTAAGAAAATATAGATCAAAAACAAATGATGAGAATGAGAAACAATAATTATGCGATAATGTTAAGTTTAGCGTTATAAACAACCCATATCATGATCAGTACAGTTTCCTCAGCTACTTGATCTGCACTTTATGACTTTAGAAGTTAGTGACTTTATGAGTTATTAGGTATCTTGGCTTGGTCATGGTTACTTATTAGGTAGCTGTCATTGCGACTCTAGACAGAAGGTGGTTTGAGATGTGTAACTCATATCAATAAACTCACTGAAGATTCAAAGCCATGTCAACCATCTCTAGCTAAAACTATTCTCCTAATATCACCATTGCTCACTTGAATCTTCTATCATTCTTGAGAAGTACCGTTGATAAAATTCTAACAAGCTATGCATGTCTTGTATGTCCACTTCATGTGTTCAACATCCTTACATTTCTATAGTCAGAAAAACATATTTTTTGGGTCACACGTTCAACAGTTTGTAAACATCAAAATTATTTTCCTATGTCCACACTGAAACTGTGTGAGCTACTTATTTCACAGAACTAATGAGAATTTCAAGATAACTGAAGTAGTCAAGACGATAAGTTATTTCACTTCCAACACTTGGACTAATCTTTGAAGTTCTGGAGTAACATTTTGAATTTAGGATATAGATATGGCTGTAAACTTACTTCAGACACTTTAAATATTACACTAGGAGTAAAGAGGCCTATGCATCTTCATCGAATACAATAATTTAAAAAATTATATTGAGATAGCAGAGAAGATTTCTAGCTCACGTGGATGGTTTTGATGGAGTTTCATTCTCTGAGCTGGTTAGTTTGGCCGTGGAGCTTGTGTCGTTATATTGAACGAAACCATGAGCACAAACACTTCACTTCTATCTGAAGTTTGTGCTGATGATGTCGTTCAGAATAGCGATGAAAGCTTCACGCCCAAACCATCCAGCTGAGAGGACTAAACTCCATCAAACTTTATATTTGTATGTGTTGGATTCATGCAAAGTCAACTGATGACAAAATCATATCCGAATGTATATCTGAGATAAAGAATTTTACTTGCACAAGTTCTTTTCCTTTTTTATAGAGTCGTAACGACTGAAGAAGCAGCTAAAAAAGCTGAAAAAGAAAATTTATTCTTTGTTGAAACTAGTGCCAAAACAGATTTCCAAATAAATAAGGTAAATAATTAGTTGAGTACTTTATGTTATTATACTTCAGCTCATTTTACTGATTGAAATATTTTGTCAAATATATTAATTTTCTATACACGAGTCATTAGTCACTTGAAGCTAGACCACCATGGAAAACCTGAAAGCACTGGACTGCCGTTTCGTCCTAATTTGGGACCACTCAGCAGTGCTCGTTCACGATCCAGCCTCGTGAGATACGAACCTAGGACATATCAGTCTCGCGCGTGAGCACTCAACCTCTAGGCCACTGGACAGACCGGTATCCAACGGCGTTAATTGATGTGCACCGCCGAGGTGTGTCACAATAGGATGAAACGGCCGTCAAGTGCTTCTAGGTTTTCCATAGTGTTGTATCTTCAACTGACTCATGATCTCGTCTACATAAAGTTACTAAAAATCTACTCAAAACCCCTTTCTGATAAAATATATTAATTATTAATAAACATTTTAAAGTACAAAAAAGTATTAATCCACAATCTCTTATTGTGCTTATGTGAACTATGGAAAATTTAGCTTGATACGGTTTAATTGAAGATTCTACCTAATTAGGATAACAACTATATCTATATATAAGGGAATGATGATGGAATCACTTAGGCCTTCATTCATCTGATATCCCTACCATTTATCTATACTACTAATTCATTGAAAATCTACTTTAGTGATTCTTCTTTTATTCTCAATCTTTCATTACATTGTATACCTTTGTTTGTTTCTTTTCTTGGCTTCAAATGATTTCACTAGAGTTAATAATCACATGGACATAAAACCAAAAAAAAGAAAGCATTTTGTTTGTTTATTATTTTTGTAATTACATTTTACCGACTTTCTATTAAATTCAATAATAATACATTGTTGTAGTCAAATTATAAACTTTCTTTTTTTATAAGCAATGATGGATAGTAGCTAGTAGTGGAATCCAGGACGAGCGTTTCGTCTTATTTTGGACTCGTCAGCTGGATGTACCTGCATCTCAGAATTGATGTTCATTCTGGAACTCGAACCCTGTACCTTTCGCTTCAAACGCCATCGCGTTATCCACTCAGTTACTGAGTCCTGTTAGTCACTTGCTTGTGCAATAGGGTGAAGTTTCAATTCACTTGATATTGTTTGTTTGTATCTACCTATTGATGTTTAGGATTGCAACTGATCAATCTCTAATTGGCATATGTGCATACTGTGCGTATCACCTCGATATAGCCCTATTTCATAAGCATTGTAAGCAAAGATGAATAGTGGTTAGCAGTGGAATCCAGTTTGATACGCGTTTCGTCCTATTAGGGACTCGTCAGCTGGATGTACCTGCATCTCAGAATTGATGTTCATTCTGGAACTCGAACCCTGTACCTTTCGCTTCAAACGCCATCGCGTTATCCACTCAGCTACTGAGTCCTGATGGCCATTTGCTTGATTACCTTTTTTAAATTATTGTTGCTACGTAATTTTAATCACTAATTAATTTTTTTGTTTTAGTTGTTCGATGAAGTTGTCATGGAAATCGTTAAAAGTATAAATAATTCAAAAGAAAATGAACGTATCCTTTTTTCCTCGTTGTATACATGCTCTAACAGTGAATAATTGAGAACAAAAAAGAAATGTGTAATGTAAACAGGAAAACATATTGAAAGTTCAAACATGATCACTTTGATGACTTGAACATTATGGAATGTTTCTCTATCTATTCTAACACTATTGAATACATATTTTGAAGGGACCAGATGTTTCTGTTAAAACTTGATCTTTGGTAAGAGTAAAACATAGAGATAACATTCATAAGATTGAATCGTTTTACATAGTGAAAAGATTACTATACGATACTTCAATTGACTATCGTAACGAATGGTTGGAGAATCTAGGTGACATGGCTCAGAATCGATCACAATCGTGTAGGTGTATACACTCTTTATCTTCCCTTAAACCTTAAGATTAAAATTGCTTCATAACGTTCTTCCTTCCTATACTATATCTTTATATACAGCCTATCTTTTATATATTACCACCAATAAATTAATTACTTCTATGAATCCGGTGTTCATCTTGTTGTGCTAATGAGGTATAGCAACATTGACCGATGCATAAATGTGCCTGGTCCTATATTGTAGCTGGCTGACTAATTTACTGAATCAGTTCCTTAAATAATTTTATATTATTGACTTTTCATTATCTTCATCTCAAAATAATAAATTTAATAAATAATAAACTTTTTAAAAAAAATTTCATATTGATTAGTTACTTAAATGATCCTTTCCAGTTCTTTCTAGTTAACATTCATCCTATTCATATCTGCTTCTATTTCCCAACGTAATGTGTTCTTTGGCCTTCATCTTTTCCACTTCCCTTCCAGATTCCGAGTAAGGGCTTGCCTTGTAATGCACATTGGTGGTTTCCTTAATGTTTGTCCAATACACTTCTAACGTTTTTCCCTAATTTCCTCTTCAGCTGGAAGCTGGTTTGTCCTCTGCCATAAAACGTTGTTGCTGATAGTATCCGACCAGTAACGTTTTAAAACGTTACAGTCGTTCAGTTAAATAATCAATTAAAACGACACGAAATCGATAATGATAATGATCACATGCTCACTAGGGACTAGCTCCATTAGATAATTCCTGGAGTTCTAATGAGAAGTCGTGACCAATGGAACTAATCCATGTCAGGTAGAGACAGGTATCTACCTTAGTAAATTGGAGGTTGGTCACGCAAATTCATAGATTGGTTGAGGCTAGAAATTAACACCGTTGGATGCCGACTCAGTGGTCTATCGATTATGTATTCTGGCACGAGACTGACAGGTCCTGGGTTCGGATCTGGTGAGTCGAGATAGTGGATGCGCACTGCTGAGGAGTGCCACAATAGGACGAGACGGCCATCCAGTGCTTCCAGATTTTCCATAGTGGTCTAGCTTCAATTGATTCGTGATTTTAACTATCAAATTATGAAATTGAATATTTAAAAAATAGATCTTAACACATTATCAACATTCTTGTTTTATAATTATATCACACAAATAAACTATGAATGAAAAAAAAAGAAGAAGAAATTAATCATTAATCTTAAGTCCAATTAGTAGAAATCATCATCATTACAGTGTAGTAGTAGTAGTTGTTGTTGTTATTGTATAGTCTAAGAAAAAAAGTACTTCTCTAATATGTGTGTTAACTTTTTTTTGTATAAACGGATTGTTATTATAATGATAATGATTGGAATGTGCTTGTTCATAAGTGATTCAAACTAAATGATCAGATATATATATCAGCATAAACACAATAAGGTAAATTGATAAATGAACAAATTACACAATATTTCTGATGTATATCATTGTGATTAGATTAGGCTTTATTGATCTAAAGTAAATATGATCATTTATTGATAGTAATACAATATATGGTTTGTAATTTACACTTTTATTAAAATGAATAATAATTTAGTTTGATAAATGAATGAATTTACTCAGCTAAGCGTAGTTGGCAGTCTATGCTCCATCGGGAGTTCACAGGCGTAAGTAAGTAAGTAAGTAAGTAAGTATGAAATCACTTTGACTAACTATAAGATAATAATTTAATAATGATCAGTTTAAACAGATGGTTGATAAAGGTTTGTTTTTAGTTAAAAGTTAATTCTGACCACCTACTGGCATTAGATAGAGATGAACTTGTGAAAAGTATAAAGGAAACATGGAAATGTTATACCATTATATTTAGAATTGTTTGTTTCCATCTTCCCATCGATGCTAGGATTGTAACTAGTCAGTCTCTTATTGGCATATGTGTATACTGTGTATTTTGCCTCGACATTGCCTTAATTCACAAGGATGGTAAGCAAAGATGAATAGTGGCTAGCAGTAGAATCCAGGACGCACATAAGCCAATAAGAGACTGACCAATTGCAAACCTAAACATCATTATGAAGATTCAAACAAACAATATCAAGTGAATTGAAACTTCACCCCATTGCACAAGCAAGTGATTATCAGGACTCAGTGACCGAGTGGATAACGCGATGGCGTTTGAAGCGAAAGATACTGGGTTCGATTCGCAGAGTGAACATCAACTCCATGATGCAGGTGCATCCATCTGACGAGTCCCAAACAGGACGAAACGCGTATCTCGTATTCTACTACTAGCCACTATCCATGTTTGCTTATATCACTTATAGTTTGTTATGGTCTAGCAATAGTGCAGTAGTACTGATGATCCGAAACGAGATCGAATTCAACAGCTGTATTTTCACGATACTTTTGTGTTGAAATCTATTGGTACATATACTATCAACTTCAATATGTTTGTAGTATATTGTCATTGTTATTCAATATCACTGATATTCTATTATCAAAACTTTTTTTAATAAATTTTATGTTTTTACCGAAATCTATAGTGACTGCACTTATTTGACCCTGAATTGTAACTGATGTGATTATTATTTTGTAAGTAGTATGCACTTCTAACTGGATTGGATAATTCTTTTTGCTTCCGCTGATTAATCTCAATTTATCCAAAAAATAAAAACTTTAAAAGACGATTTATTGCTGGGAATTAAAATAAGACTGCTTTTAGAAAGGCAGCATTTATGTATCATTTTACTTATATAGTCTTCAAGGTTAGAAAAAGGAGCTTAATCAAAGTGCAGCCGATCGACAGGAAAACAATAAATTAAAAAAATAATGCTGTAGAGAAAATTTATCAACATAAAATATCTCTATTTTTAAAACGAATATAATAAGTGGGTTTTCTGTGGAAATTTTTAGTAATTTTTATATATAGTTGAAATGATGAGTCAATTGAAGTTAGACCATCATGGAAAACTTGAAAGCACTAGACGGCCGTTTCGTCCTATTATGGGATTCCTCAATGTCAGTGTGCATCCACAATTTCACCTCGCGAGCGAGATTCGAACCCAGAACCTACCAGTCTTGCGCCAGAGCACAAGTAATCCGTTTTTTTCGGGTCATTCACATCACAAACAATTATTGTTTTTTTTTTTTATTAAACACAACTATATTGGCTATTTTCATCACTTAACCCATTCTATATATGTATATGTGTGTGTCAATACAACATTTCAATTCGAATCAACATCATTCAAAAAAAAAACAGATTCAAATAATAATATTGAATTGGATAAAGATCATGGTTATTGGAAATGTTGGTGCTTTTAAACGAATCAAAATAACCAATCACCATAGATACATGGATACATATATAAACTACTTATGAACTACTTTTTTTAATTTTTCATAAATAAGCCAATTTCTGTATAATAATAATAATAATAAATACATAATGATAAATACATATCTATATACATAATGGATTGTATAAGCTATTTTGCATCATGTAAATAAATTATCAATGAATGACCTTCAATAGGGTAGGTATTTTAGTACACTTCTTTTGTAGTTGTGTTTTTATACCTTTTTTAATGATATACACTACACACATAGATGGAGATAGACATGGACATCATATACATGAAGATGGGACCTGTGATAGAAAGTGAGAAAAAAAATATTAAACTGTTGAAATCTTTCATTGTTCAGTTTTTCTTTTCTTTTAGTCCTTGAAGTCGAAATTTTATTTTTATCCTTTTAATTTGTAATTAAATACATTTATATATTTGTCAGAATGGGTTTTTTTGTGGATATTTCAATATTTTCATAGTTGAAATCATGAATCAATTGAAGCTAGATCACTATGGAAAACTTGAAAGCACTGGAAAGCAGTTTCGTCCTATTATGGGACTCCTCAATGGCAGTGTGCATCCACGATTTGACCTCGCGAGCGAGATTCGAACCCAGGACCTACCAGCTTCATATATTTGTCAATATCCTAATTAAGCAGAAAAATTAATGGTTCGGATGTTTCGTAACTCAGTAAAAACTACTTCTTTTGAGAATAAATATTCATTAACATATATCTTTGATTTTATGTGTTGGCTAAGATACTAACCGAGAGACCAAACTGGTTATTTATTCTCTGAAGACGTAGCTTAAACTGAGTGACGAAACGTTAGAAAATCTAATTTTTTTTCACTCATTGGGATACCTAGATATATATTATCATATTTATTTATAACACTCTACCACCCAATACTTAATTTATTCAAAATTTGTAATTGTTACTTAGATTTATACAAAAAAAATAAAAAAATAAAACATTTACAAAGCTATAATTACATTTCGATTTGTGATTTATTATTAAATATGAAAAAGTAACAACATTGGAATAAAAAAATAAGTTATAAATGATATAATAAATACCCTGGTATGATCGAGAGTGGGGAGTGTCCACTCTCCCTCTCGAAAAAGGCTTCACATGACCATTTGCATACAACGACTGTCAGGGTAGTCCTACTCACTGCTTTCTCGTGATTGGGTGGAGTGTTGTTTACGAATTTGAGAGGACGAGAAGCGAATATCCGGCTCTTTAACCTTCTTGGCGGATGTGGAAGATCCACCTAAGTGAATTGGAAAACATTGATTCCAAAGCAATGGTGCACATTGGATCCTTGATCGTTAGGGAACAAAAATAGAGTATGAACCTATTGTTGGTGACCAGCTACTATAGGACTGTATCTCCTGATGTTGCTCCACTGCCTTGTGGATCAGACCTTTAGGTTAAAGGCTAGTGGTGTGGACATCTTAGAAAGCTACATGTTTCGGTTTGGGCACCCAGGAAGTATTCCAGCACTCACATAAATCGAATGATTACTTACTTACTTACTTTTAACTAACTTACGCCTGTTGCCCCTCGTGGAGGGGCATAAACCGCCCACCGGCATTCTCAATCCAACTCTCTCCTGGGCCTTCCTTTCCAGTTCTTTCTAGTTAATATTCATCCTATTCATATCTGCTTCTATTTCCCAACGTAATGTGTTCTTTGGCCTTCATCTTTTCCATTTCCCTTCCGGATTCCAAGTTAGGGCTTGCCTTGTAATGCACATTGGTGATTTCCTTAAAGTATGTCCAATCCACTTACAACTTTTTTTCCTAATTTCCTCTTCAAATGGAAGCTGGTTTGTACTCTCTCACAGAAGGCCGTTTCTGATGGTATCTGACTAGTGAATGCTGAGTATTTCGCGTACACAACTGTTTCTAAATACTCGTTCGTTTTAGATGATGGTCGTAGTAGTCCTCCCCGTTTCAGCTCCGTACAGTAGGACTGACTGTCTTGACGTTCGTATTGAAGATTCTCACTTTGATATTACTTGACAGTTTTTTGAGTTCCATATGTTCTTCAATTGTAGAAATGCATTCCTTGCTTTGACAATCCTCGCCTTTACATCTGCATCCGATCCTCCTTGTTTATCAACGATGCTTCTCAGGTACTTGAATGTTTTCAACTCTTCCAGAGTTTCGCTATCAAGTGTGATTGGGTTGGTGTTCTCCGTATTGTATTTGAGAATCTTGTTCTTCCCATTGTTTATGTTAAGATCTATTGATGCAGAGGCTAATGCTATATTAGTTGTCTTCATCTGTATTTGTTCGTGAGTATGAGATAGGAGGGCTAGGTTGTTATGGTTGGGGCTAAATCGATTCCGAGGTAACGAACGAAAGCCAATGACACAATGACACGATAAGCTATTCTAACCTGTTGTCCCAGGCCCCGCTAACTAAATGAAGAAGTCCAAGGCAAGTAGGGGAATATATATGTATTCCGTAAGCAGCCGAGTACAAGAAATCCAATAAGGGGAAAAGTCAAGCGCATTTATACAGCAACAAATTGTCCTTGAGCATCATTAGTAAATAGCACACACAAAGAAACAATGGACCAATAGCGTTTAAGATAGTTTACAAGTGGGAAATATGACGTGAAGGTAAAAAGAGCACGTTTTGCGCGAAAACAGCTAAATTCAAATTTTCAAAATAAAATTACAAAACTAAGCCATTTACCAAGTAAGTTCTGGGGATTTGACATCCCAAACATAGGTTATCTTCGAAGCCCGAATTGTCTAATTGATTCTGAGATGTCCACCGTATTCCGTGCTTCCCCTCAGATGTTGAAGTCTTCATAATCCGGTCAATCACCAGGAGAAATAGAAATGGGGAGAGTAGACAGCCTTGTCAGACTCCAGTCCTTAATGGAAACACATCTATCGGCTGTGGTGTGGTGCATACATATTTGGTGTCTCCTTGTACTAATGTTTATGCGTTTTCTCAATACATGAATAATAAACAATTAATTTATCAAGTAATTCATCGTTTCCACCCAACAATCGTATACAAATTGTTAAGTTTGTTTCATTCGACCTTCTTAAAAACATATTTATATATTACAATATCAACACTATTCCAATCAGTAAATAATAAATTATTTGAAAAACAAAGTAGGAGATCGGATATTTATTGCAAAGAACGTACTGATCTTCATGTTTCAATAGTTTCAATAGTTAAGCTTCAGTCGGCTTAGCTACAGAAGTGAATAAGAATTGACTGAAGTCGATAAATCACTGAAACAAGAGAAGCATTAGAATTGCTTCAGAACTATTCAAGAACGCCCACACATGACCTTTAAAGACTAGACAGTGAGTTTTAATATTCTGTTAAGTTTAAATATTTCATGATTTCAGATTTTTCTTTGATCTTTTGATTTGTCTGAGTTTCCTGACAGTGTCGTATAAAGCACTATCATGCTGCTTCATCTTCTCTTAATAAGTAAAATAAACTTTTCGGCAATATTCACGTTTTTTTAACACCAAGAATATTAACAGTACTAACTATAAAAGTTACTCTTTAGTGATTTACTAATCTTACTTGCTTCAAATAAACAGATATAAATATGATTAACTTTTAACACGCAGCCACACATATTGTTTTCCTTAATATCATGCAAAATTGTTTGTTTTATATACAAACATGAATATCTAATCAATTAACAGACACCTATGTGTATAGGGTATTAATGTTGCTTCAAAAACACCCATGATCGTAGGATGCTAGTGTTCGATCATAGGTGTCTTCGAAGCATTGTTCGTATATCCTGGGACCACCGGATAAGTAATGCAGATGTTAGGAAACGGGTACTAGGTAAAAATGGCAAATCAATTGATGAAGTAGTAAAACTTTATACGTTGAGATGGCTGGGACATGTGTTACGTATGCCCAACCACCGACTGTCCCGACGTGCAATGCTTTATGGTGTAGGAGTAGGTTGGAAGAAAGCTAGGGGCGTCCAAACCAAAACATGGCACAAATCCATGAAGTCACTGACAATTGAACTGAGCCATGTTGATAGGTGTAGACTACCTGGTTAAGATTCGCGAGATGACAGCAACCGATGGTTGGAGACCTTGAATGACATGACACAAAATCGTTTGCAATGGCGAAGGTGCATCCACTCTTTGTGTTCTACCAAATTCTAATCTTCTGAATTCCTAATGTCTTTATCTTTTTCTCTTTCCAAATTTATTTCACTGCATGATACTCCTTCAATAATTTCTTCAAACCCTAATCTTTTGGATTTCTGATCATGCACCTACTACTTCTACCACTATGGGATTTGAATCGATAACTGCATCTCTATGCTCATGTGGTATGACAATTTGGACTGATGTACGTACGTACGAAGTTCTACATTTTGACTGACTGACTGAATTTGTGTCAGTACAATACATTTATGTTGATAAACTCAAATAAAAGTATCTTTAAACCTTCTACATAATGAACTAAATGAAAAGTACATCACATCTTTAAAAAATCTCTTTCTTTCTTTTTGTCTCCTTAAACTGACTTATTTGTTGAATCAAACTTTTAATTCTTATTGAATCGAAAAATTAAACAATAGAGAGATAATTAGTACAATAGTTATATCAACTTCAATAGAACTGTTATATCCAGGGACTAAAGATACTTTTGTTACAGAATTCAAGAAGAACCTTCAGAAGAAAAAAAGGATCATGCAAAATAAAAATGAATGAAATAAACCTATTGCTGAATAATTCTTAACTAACTATAATGCCTTATCTATCTTCATAATGTATATTCATGTGCTTAACACTAGTATCATTACTAGTACGCTTAATATGAAGAATGTTTTATGCGCTTATTTAATTTGCTTCAGTGTTACTGTGTGTTAACACTATAATTGTCGTTTGCGACTGTACAGATTTAAAAATGAATTCACCGAAAACAGTACCCGTTGCTGGAACAATTTCTCTAAT